CAGGGAATGAAAGGTAAAGCCTTAAGTTCAGTTCTCTTCATTACTTGAGTTATGTAATGTCTGTTTAATATTTGTTACAGATTTTTTTTTTTTTGTTAATTTGGTTTTTGTACTGCTGTTGAAGAAGAAGAATGAAGTAATGTCGTTTAAGGAGAAGTGACAAAAGCTCTTGAAGAAGAGATAAATAATGTGGTTGAAAAAGAAGCAACTAATCAAAGTGAAGAAGTGATAAAGAATATAAAAGAGACAAGAAATGTTCTTGAAGAAGAAGATCCCCTTTTTCCGGGTTTCATAAGCAAAACATGATCCTTTTTAATTTTAGAATTAATGTCTCCGTCCAATATAGTAACGTTGACTTTTTTTAGTTCCAATTTGAGCAGTCAAAGATTACATGAGGAATAAATCTATGCAACTAATAGTTGGGTATTAAAAGTGTTATTTTCAATTAGTTTAGGAATTACAAACCCATTTTCCCATTATAAAAACCAACTTTAAACTAAACTAAGATATAAATAACTTTAAGACTTCCGAATTTGATAAATGGAATCTGGGGATAAATAAAGTTCAATATATTAGGCAGAATTGACTTTTTTTGTATAGACTACTCATATTAAATTACAATAAATATATTTTCTTATAGAGATTTGAAGAACTGAATTTCTGGAATGTCAGTACTAAATAGAATTTCAGAACCACCTTCTAAATTTGTAACATAATTGAAGCCACCTATAAAATAGTATCAATGATAAGAAGAAAAATCAACAGTTATGAATTTGAAAAAAACTGCAAATAAATGTAGATTACCTGCTCCCCACTCAATTCACCATAACCTTACAACAAATACTACAACATCTGCTAACGTCTCCAAATTAACTTGAATAATTTCAATTCAGAAACATAAGTTATTGCAGCCATTATAGGAGAAAGAGATAAATTTCTAAGGTTTTGAGTTTAGGGAATAACTAAAATGAATGGGAGAAGCAAGTCTTATATAGGTTTAATATAGCGAGTATTCAATTCGCATTGTATCTCCCAAAAATCCCGAATTGAATGGCATATATTTTTACCTTGGCAATACTCTTCGATATATACATTGCGATAAACTAAAAATGTAAAATCTATGTCATTTAGTATCATTAACTAACCTTGCCAAATACTTAAGAGAATTAAATCTTGTCAAAACCTACATGCAGACGGTTTAATTTGGTATGCGTACAGTTGCTTGATATCGATTTAATATTCTAAACCATAATATTATATTTTTGTCAACGAAAAATTTCTCCTTTTCGTTCTCTTTAAAAAGTAAACTCCTGTGTATGAATACACAATGTGATAAAGAACAGAAATTTGTATAACATCAACAAAAACTTGTGTTAACAATCATACACTATAACAGAAACATTGTCTTCTTTGTTGGCTGTATAGAAAGAAATTATGAGTTCTTACATGCGTGTGAGACTGTCTTTAAAAGACTGTGTACGGTTTTCTCGATTAGTATTATAAGCAATATCAATGATTGATGTGAGAATGTCTACACAAAAACGTTAGTCTATATTCTATAGAATGCTTGCCAATGTGATAATGTAGTAATAACAGTTATCGTGTGTGTCGTTTGCTTTTACCATGATAGCTCTTTATTTGTCATAGTCAAAAAACGATTTCAAGTTCATAAAGAACTCATTCCAGTAGATTAAGATATTCTATGCTACATTGATATATGGGGGTATGCAATGTCAATGATTGATGTGAGAATGTCTACGCAAAAACGTTAGTCAATATTCTATAGAATGCTTACCAATGTGATAGTGTAGTAATAACAGTTATCGTGTGTGTCGTTTTCTTTTCCATGATAGCTCTTTATTTTCCATAATTCAAAAACAATTTCAAATGCATAAATAACTCCTTGCCAGTAGACTAAGATATTCAATGCTACATTGATAGGGGTAACTTCCCTAGTCATGAACTTCTCAGCTTGTTGCTTATGAAGTTCTCAGCTTGTTTTTATATGGTTACATAGTTTGATTCGTTTTGCTTGATAGGAGTCAAAGAAATTTGATGCACCAAGGATAGATTTATCAAATTGGCTTTGCATAAACATCTCTTTTTCGCAGTGCCATTGTTTGAGTCTTCACTATTAGCTGTAGATGAAGCAAGTTTCACTGTTCTACCTTCTTTCACCATCAACTTCTCTTTTTTGTTGATAGTTTACAAATAAATTTTATGCGCCAATGATAGATTTATCATGTTGCCTTTGCATCATCTTCTCCTATTTTTCAATAACTTAACATCAATGGTATCGTTATGAACATTTATGCTGCTCAAAACTTGGTTTGTATAGACACAATTAGCTTTGCATCACGTTCATCAGTATAAGATAAATTATAACACGTGTTTGTGTTTAGTCTAAGCAAACTATGAAACTTTTACTCTACATTTTATGAGAAGCTCTATTAACGCGATATGTCAGCATATGATTTTCAAAATAATGTGAGGTTTCCACGTGTCCAATGTAATGTGAAAGCATTAAATGACAGTGCTTCTCCTTTAATGTATAGGAGATTGGACTCGGGATTCAGGTCGGATATCTCAAACCAAACATGGATCCGAACTTAACCGAAGTACAGACATGTAAACATATATAGTATGTCATATGATATATATTATATACTTTTATATATATATATATATATAGTGATTTATTCAACTTTCTAAAATTATATGCTATTACCTTTGTTAATTAACCATCAATTTTTGTCTCTTTTGTGGTAGATTTTGGAAGTCTAAATCAAATGATAAAATAAAACATTAAGTTTGTCGCTTCTCTCAGCCACTAGTTGTTTTCAATTTCATATTTTTGCTCATTCTCTCTTTTTTTTATTAGTTTCGACATTCTTTTTAAATTTCACATCATCGATTAGTCACATTTAAACCAATTTTAATGGTTAATGCTTCAAGATTTGATATGGTATTTTCTGTCATTATTTGATTTTAAATTGTTATGGTTACTTTTTTCTAAATTGAACCTGAAGTATTATGAACCAAACTGATCCAAAATTCTATAAAACCCCAATGGAACTTCTAAATCAAACCTGAAAATTCAAAAATCTGAACCTGAACGCCCATCCATGTGTTGTATAAAAATATAACGGATCTTAACTATTTCGTTCACTTAAACAATACCCGCTTCAGATTTCTGGTATGGATCCACCATATGATTAGATTAAACCAAACGACCAACTCATATATAAAGTTAGAAACCACAGTCAAAGCATCATCTTCCTCTCTGCCTGTAAACTTTTGGAACGATCAATAGATTAGTACCCCCTCAAAAGTACATACTAGAAACCCTAATTGATTTCTTAGCTTTGAGAGATTCGATTAATTGTGATTTTTAAAAGGAATGAGGCACTCAAAAGATCCGTTTGAATAGGAGTGGGCATCTTATCCGATACTCAAAACCCAATCTGAAATATCCAAACCGAAATCCAAACCGAAATAGAAAAATACCCAAACGGATATTGAGTTCGGAGAGATTGATTATCTGAACCCTAACAGGTAATACCCAAACCCAAATGAATACCTGAAGATAATAGAACATATGTATATATACATATTTTATTCCTAGTTTATTGATCTCATTTTATTCAAAATATTTATATTAATGTTGTATACCATGTTTTAAAACTCGCTAGGCGCTACGCGTGCGGTCGGGTAGGACCTAGCGCGTAATCAATTAATCGGGAATTATACAGAGATTAATCGGGGATTTATTTTAGGGCTTTATATAGATGTAAGTGTTATATATTTACAAATGTTCAAGAATTGTATGATGAGAGCGTGGTCTAGTGGTCGCAGTTACTTGGCAAAACCACCAAACCCGGGTTCGACGCGTCCATTTTCCATTTTTGCACAATTTTTCAGGAATTAGGTTAAATGAAATGGTAAATGACAATATTTTCCTCGTCTTCGACCTTCCCTCTCTGAAACCTGTAGCCTTTTTTTTCTTCTTTTCTTTTTCTTTTTTTTTTTTTGCAATTTCAGTCTTATTTCAAGCTAATCTTGTAAGTTTTTGTTTAAATGATACAAATCTATTAACTGGGCTATTCATGTCAAATCTATTACTTAGTATATGACATTCACTTTCAAATTTGTAACTGATACAAATCTATTACTTAGTATATGATATCCACTTTCAAATCTGTAAAATAACGAAGTTGAAATTTTCTCCGATTAACTGAGCGATTCATGTCAAATCGCGGCGGCCGGTGACCGATTCACGTTTTTCCGGCGATTACACGGCTATAGAGAACGCGTTTTTAAAACAAGGGTTGTATATAGCTTAATATCATATAATATATATAATTGTTAAACATTATTTGGTACTCATTTAAAATGCATGTTAAGCTTTTTATTTTATGTTTTAACAAAAATTGCATCCAAAATCTAAAAATAATAACCAGATTAATACTTTCTATTTTCAGTCATTTATTTTCAAACTTATTAATTGTCTAACCTATTAAACATTTAAAAAATAATTAATTTAATAGTGAAATTTTAAATACATGAAACTTGAGCAATGAAGAACTATAATTTGTTCTTACAAAATCTAAATACTCGAAATCCGACCCGAAATAACCAAACCTAAACTAAAAATATACGTACCTGACCCAATATGTAAAAATATTCCGGTAGACCCCAATACCAAAATATCTGAAAATTCGAAATATCCGATCCAAATCTGAACAGGTACCCAAACGCCCACACATGCGTTTGAAGCTGCGATCGAGAAGGAACAAGAGGAATCTCCACCGGAATCTCTCGTTAGTGGTGGCCGCAGAGGAGGAAGCTGAAATGATGACGCTCTAGTTAAAATCGACCAGACTCCAGAAGAGAGCGAGAGAGATGTGGGTGTTCGCCGTCAGAACAAGAAGTCCAAAACCTATTATGTTGTTGCTGAAGGGAAGAACAAAAAGGAAGACGAAGAAGAAGAGGAAGAGAATATGGAAACTAAGTTAATTAAATACCCAGCTACTGCTGATCCTGCTAAGATGGCTACAATGCAGTTAGTAATTCTTGAATTTTCTTTTTATCAATAGATTTTGATAATGTGAGGAATGTGTTGAAACACAATCTTCTTACTTTTGTTTCATTCAGACATGAAGCGTTTAGCTTTGTGTTTCGTTGATGCAGTTATTACAGGGAGTGACAGGGAGTCAGATCAGTGTGCCGATAACAATCGTTACATGCGGTATCGCAAAGATGTTTGTTGGTGAACTCGTTGAAATAGGTAAGAATAATGAATAGTTTCAATTCTTTTTGTTGGGAATGTCCTAAAATCATTTGTACTTACTCTAGTTAAAGTCGTAACGTCGAGGTTCGGCAATCATATAAAATTAGGTGGTTATAATGTTTTGCTAGAAACCGCTTATAATCTATGAATTGAGAATTCATTACTAATATTATATGATCCTATAGGGTCACACACCTAAGCAAACTGGATCAGTGATATATTGGGTTACATGATATATTTATGTATATGTGTTATATATGATATAAGTGCATATGTATATTTATATGTATAAACTCGTGAGGTATATGATTATTATTGTTAAGTGGGCCTTGCCCAACAAACTAGTAACGTGAATTAACTCACGTGTATTAGGTCTAAGAAGAGTTGTCTTATATAAGACAATGTGACTTTAATAATCATATGAGGAGACTTGCGACGGCAAACCCTAAAACACAAAAGGACAAATAGTTCGTTAAGGTTCTGAGATTTGATCTCGACGGCACTAGCATCCCGTATCGATCCAGTTTGTGTGCGTGTGGATACCAGTAGAGGCACGACGTTTGGAGTGCTTGAAATCTCGACTTGGTTCATTCATCCTTCCGCTGCAGAATAACCAGGTATATTCGAAGAACCTAAAGATCTAGATTATTTCAGTATTGGCATGAGATTCTAGGCAAATAGAATTCATAAGTTGATTTATAAATCGTTATAAACTGATATGAATTCTTACAGTGGTATCAGAGCCTACTTGCAGAATATTGAGATAAAATTAGAAAAGTTTCATGTGTATATATTGATATTCACGATTGCGATTAATTTACTTTATACTCAACATAATTTCTTGTTTGATACCATCAATTTAGTTGATAAAATTTATCGCTTGCATAGAAAGTTGTTTGATCTGACTGAATCTGACTGGTATAATTAATCGTTAGTTAAACAAACCAGAATCTGGAGTTTCGTGCTTTGTGAGACATGTATTGTGTGTCGTAGGTTTATTATGAAGCCGTCAGATAAAGTTAATGTAACTCTTATCACCAGATTTATAAATTGAAATCTGTATCATGGAATCATGTGACGTTCTGTGTATGTTGCATACATATAGTTTCAGGAAGCACTCGTATTATTGTAATGCATGAATGCGTGTTTCTTAATCAACATAATACATATGAGATGTGTATATACCAATTGAACCAACGGTTGGTAGGTTGTTTATAAAACGGTTTGGTCGTATGCTTAGAGTTTAATTAGATTAAATTCTAGAATCCAAAATATAAATAATTAATCACTTTAATTAGATTAAATTATTAAATTATTTATAATTCAATTAAAATACATATAAGATATGTATTAGTTATATTTATTTCTATATTAGATATATATTTTAAATATAAACTAAAATTGAATTAAAATTTGTTCCTCAATTAATTTCAAGTATTTTGATGTCTACCCAATTTTATCAACCATCAAGGCTTGTTTCGTTGTAAGATGGGCTTGCCAAAGCAAGGTGTCTGCAATTACATGAGTGAGGTGGATGGTAACGGTTACCATATGAAACAAGATTGGTTTACTTGACTAGGCTATCAAAACGGTTTTGGGCTTAGAGACATAGGTTGGATAAGACATAAGATGTCATCTGACAACCAAGAATTATATTGGATATAATTAGCAAAG